AATATGAATTTAATTGCGACAATTAAGATTTAATTACTAAGCAATCAACTTGTTAACATCGTAGTTCAATGTGTTTATTTGTAAGCAGCTGGGAATTTACAGCAAATTCCTTAATATTCCTACGTGTTCCCACACCAACTTTTATATTCGATACCAATAAACTTTACGAGAGGTTTTTTTATGTTAAAATTTGCCAAGCGAGCAGATTGTTCAACTGATGTTAAGTGAATGCCACCGCCCATGGACATCTGCTACACCCGAGGGTTGCAGATGTGTTGACAACCTTTTGAAAATTGGGCTCCGGCCACCTCACTCACCAGACGAAACGCGAAAGTATTATACATCCACTTTAAGCTGATCTTGTCCGAGGTCGTGGTACTTACCCGGACGAGCCTGCCCATTCGTACAACAGTCGAGGCTGCTGCGTGGCCCTACCACCTCGATGAAACTCGGTAGGACACTTATAAACCTACAATCAGACTAAAATTCCATCTTGTTAGGACTTACGGCCAAAATGTAAAAAAGTGAAATGATGGGGCATTATACATACATATAGTTAATCATGTGCGAATACAACACATAGTTGAATACTGCCTTAATTAGTTTTTAAAATTCCCGTGATCATCAGTGCTGTGTGTATGTCGGTTATTAAAATAAATAATGATGCAATTATGTCATTATAGATTTTATCGCGTTTAATTTAAATATAAATTATCGACACTTCAAACACTGCAGCTCTCATAATCTTAGCGATAGCATTGAAGCGTATGTCCAAAAAAAAAAACGTAACACTCAAAGTCAGTCATAATTTCTTTATTCTTATTTTAAGCTCATAATGAACGTCAAAAACTATCACCGGTTCACTAAACTAAACCTGTCCAGAGAAAAACCGGCAAAAAACTCTGCGGCCGATGGTATGTCCATCTTCTTCTTTTCTAAAAACAAATACAGGGCGTATATCAAACCATATCACCTACGCAATCTCTGCTGCCATATAAATCGTACAATTAATTCCTAACGTTATCAAATATTAAGAGCCTAATCTGCTAAAATGACACTAGTAATATCTGCATTGAGTAATCGTAATTCAAAATATCATTTCATTATTACATAGAATTACATAGAATTTGTACCAAGACAAAAGAATTGTATTTAAAAGAGTCAGAATAAGGTCCGTATGTGCGTAGCCACCAGCGTGACTTGTGAAGTACCCTTACTGGGAAGGAGCGTGCTGCATTACGGCTGATGGGGAATTCCCTCAAATAATAAATGTTTGAAAGTTCCTTAGCAACAATTGTTCAATTTATGAATATCTTGCACGATACGTATGAATATTCTTTACTTTAAATATACTGAAGTACAAGCAATCAATTTTCGTAACATAGTGGCAATAAACTTCCACGTAAGTATCGTTTCGTCTTCGTATTCGTCACGAGGCCGTATCGGACTATCTTCTTTATTTACTTGAAATGGTAGGAGTGGGCAACGAACGCAATGGCCCTCTTTTATTTATTAAAAATGAAACGAATTCTGACGCATAATAATTATGTAACAAGATGGCCGGCCGACAAACGGGGCAAGGGGCGTGCGGTAGGAAAATCCCCGAGAGCGATGGCACCCCGATCGGTTACTACTCGTGTCACGGCCCCGAGGCTTGCGGTGCAACGGGTTTTTCGCTGTTTCTCCCCCCTCCCCAGCCCTGCCACACTCGGCGGGCCCTCTGGTGCTAATGCGTCACTCGTGGAGGACCAAAGACGCTCCATCATGATTGCGTTTAATTCAACAAATAATCCAAACGTTACGCAATTATCTCCTTAGGACGCCAGGAACGTGCTTAGTGTAGTAGGCAATACGCTTGCACGAATTCGTCTCCGCCAACGAAAACGTTCTCATGAGCCGCACATTCGAAAGTTTAAGCAGGACTTTCCTTTATCAATTAAAACTTTCCCAACGAAAAAGTTGCCTTGTTAGCAGCGCACAATGAAGTCGTTACTTTATTAAAATATTATTCTAATGGTGTTTGCTCGCAATATAATGGTGGTAATATTTATGTGACACATTGCATAAAACAATACTTATTAACTTTGGATGTGAGTTGTGAAACAATTACGTTTTTGTTATGCTTGTCTGTATCGTTCTCGTTCAAGACTAATGATAATTATTTGTGTGTTGGTTAAGTTTAAATTCTCTGTGTTCCCTGTATTTTACGCCGTCTATGGTCATGGAACAGGATAAGGTGTTTGCTTGACGTACGCATGTATGTACGTAGAGACCATATTTTCGATAAAATGTTAATGTTAAGCTTCATGTGAACTTGGCAGATGGTAAAAATTAATGAACCAAGTTCTAGATGCAGCTAATAATCTTTGATTGGTCTGCAAACAGCAATTCAAAACGGCATCAAATACTAATATTTTTAACAGTTGAACAGAACGATAAAAGTTGCAAGTGCAAGTCGGTTGCGCCGAGGATTCACACTTCTCGCTAGAGGAGCTGCTGGGAAGTGTTCCCTTCAATGTCATAACCAAGATAATGACGATGAAACTAAGTATACCGCAAGATGATTAATTAACATAGCGCGTTGCGGCGGCATATTGTTTTAATAAGTAATAATTTTGTAGATAGGTAAAACGAAGGTGACGAATAAAATGATGACGATTCTAAGAATTACATTGAATAGATTCCTTTTAATTAGCCGCTGTCCTTAGTGGCAAATGAATAATTACATTTTATTGTTCGTAGTTTCTAATAGTGGTCGCTGGAGGCGCCGGGTTCCGCTGTTGTTGACATTGCCACTTGACCTCTGTTACAGAACCGTAGCTATAACAATGAAACTGTATATGAAGTATAACAAGAACCAAAAGATTCAAACAGATAAAAGAATGTAAGCGTCAACATTATAAGAGTATATTATATGAATTAATAGTGTCGCAAATATGCTTGTAATGATTCCCATTAGCTTACGCAACCCCCCACGTTGACATATATTTTAACTGTAGTAGGGCCACGAAACAGTCCTCGCTGTTGGACGTATGGACAGGTTCGTCCGAGTAAGAATCACGGCCTCACAAATATCAATGGGCGGCGCCTATCAATTAACATCAGGTAAACCGTGAATTCTAAAGTCGTGGGCGCAAATGCAGCCTCGATGTAGTCGATACACTGACTTCATTTGCGATTTATTATTTCCAAGTATTGTTCACTTCCTTAAGATGTTTCAGGCAAGTACCTATAACGTATATGGAAACATGTTGTGAATAATGTAGTCAATAAAGAATTTTTGGCTTTAAGGAAAGAAGACGAGGAAAAAAAACATGATAAGGTGTAATTGGAGTTTTTATTTTACTTGATGACGTCACTGATGTTACCCACATATTTTTAATATAGCTAAACGATTCAATCTCTTTATACATACAGTATAAGGTAGGCCCTGGATAACTTGGAAACCTCAACAATTGATGATTTTTAAAATAGTCCGCAATACCTCGTCTTCTTTTTTTTAATGTAAAAATATATTGATTTCTTAATTTTAAGCGAATATTATACATTATCAAAAGAAAGTATTTTACGGATTTTATTGCGTCAAATTAGATTTTTGGATTCCCGACGTTTCGAATCCTTTCCAGTGTTCATGGTCATGGGACAGACCATAAAATAATTTTCAATAACTTTGAATTAAGTATAGTATATGATTAACAAGAAAAAAACATTGTAGAAAAGCGCGGGGTGCTTGAGTCGATATTATTATAATATTTTAAAGACATTATATGCTTACACTATACTGGTAAAAATAGTCATAATGGATATATCATAAAAAGCACCCCACGCTTTTCTGAAATAAAAAACTTTTTTGTTAATCACACTGTTCATAATTTAAATTTATTGAAAATTATTTTCTACTTGTTAGATCTGTTATCTAACCAAGTAGATAAAAAGGCGTGTTAATTTAGTTTTTTTTTAACTATTATTTATTTTCTATTTTTTAGAAAATAGCTAATCCTGAAGGCCCTGATCATATAATAGGAAAAACTATTTAAGTTATAGCATTGTCATGGGTCTTTGACGAGTGTGCAAAGTTCGATTCAACTATGATCGTTCAAATTGGGACAAAATCACGTTTAAACATTCCGTTACATACATACAGGTGAAACTAATATAAGTATTTTATAAATATTATATTATAATGCGAGTTACAGATAATTACTAGCACTTTTAATTATTCTTTGTTTTAATGCTCATATCGTCCGAGTGTGGGAATAGGCTACAACAATATTAACGATCGTAAAAAGAAAACGACTTACCTACAGGAAAGTGTCATCTGAAGTCTTTAATTTGTATATATTTTTTTCTCTTTTTCTTCTTTCCTTTTTTTCGTTTTTGTTTTATAATTGCTACCATCATATATATATATATTTATATATATATATATATATATATATATATATATATATATATATATATATATATATATATATATATATATATATATGTATATATATATATATATATATATATGTATATAAGTATGTATATACATGGTTATATATTTATACATTTTAATGTGAAAATATGTGTATATTTATATGTAGTTTATTTTTATATAATTTTGTACTTAAAGTATCTATCACTATTTTGGTTGATTATTTTACTATTTAATTTTAGTTAGTTTTATAATTGCACCTGCCTAAAGATCTCACCACACCATAGGTTGACTGGCAGAGAATGCCTTGAGGCATTAAGTCCGCCTATTGTGTTCCGTATTAAAGGAAATGCAATAAAGACTAAATAAATAAATAAATAAAAGCAATTAAAAAAATAAAAAGGCCTTACATATTGTAGAACAATTTATTATCTTAATTGTGTACGGGTATTATTATGTGAAAATTGTATTAAAATAGGTAGAACTAGTTCGTTTCTTATTTAGGCAAGACCAAAATGGTGAACCGATGGCAGGGTTGACGAAAGCAAAATTAATTGAAATAATGTCGTTACGTACACAGTGGCGATACTCGACGTGGGGTGAGCGGCTGGCCACGTTGTGCGGGGCGGCGCTGGGCTGTGTGAGCGCGGGCGGGCTGGTGCTGGCGCTGCTGGCCTACGGGGAGATCACCGCGCTCTTCGTGCAGCGTCACCGCGCCTCTGCGCCCCCCGCCGACTCGCACCTCATGCGCCTCTTCGGCGGCGGACGCTCGCTGTGAGTGCGCCGACCGCCACCCCAACCTTTCCTGTTGGCCCTCGGCGTAGCCACAGCTGCTAAGCGGTGTTTGTGCCCGCAGGCCGGACGGCGAGCGCGCGCTGCACATGGACGCGCTGGTGGAGGACGCGGCGGCGTTCGCGTGGGCCAGCGCGGCCATCATGGCTGCCCAGCTCATCGCCTCCGCGCTGGCGGTCACCCTCTGCAACCACGCCGCCGCCACTATGGTGAACCGCCCCCCCCCCCCCCCCCCCCCCCCCCCCCCCCATCCACACCCTTTGACCATTATTATCCAAGTAACGATAAGTCGACTACTCGATAACTTAGTATATTTACGATAAATTTTACATGCAAATAACGTTAGATTTAGTGTTACAAAAGCGATACGTCCATGCGATTACAGGTAACGCGACTGCGCATGCGGCTGTTACGCGCCGTATTGAGTCAGGAGATAGCTTTCTTCGACACCAACACCACTATGAACTTCGCAGCCTCACTTACCGAGTAGGTGCCCTCAACTACCTTTTGCTTCCTTATATTTAAATAAGTACAAAGTGCTAAATGTTTCTAAAAAAAGTTAAACGTAATTTCGTTACCTGCCTGCCGAGACAAGGCGGTAGTGTGCTAACCATGTTCACATGGCTGTTGGTGTTGCGCAGACAGACGGAGAAGCTGCGGCAGGGCGTTGGCGAGCAGGTGGCGATGACGGCCTACCTGGCAGGGACGGTGGTGCTGTGCTGTGCACTGGCGCTTTTCTACGGCTGGCAGCTGACGCTGGCCGCGCTGGCGCTGGTGCCGTTGGCGCTCCTCGTGGCCGCGCTCGTCGCTAGGGTATAGCTCGGACAACATATAACAGGAGCCGCTCTTTACAAATACCAATTCAAGGTTGGCACAAGTTTAACATGCAATATTTGGACGCAGTACCAGACGAGGTGGTCGGGAGAGGAGATGGCGCGCCAGGGTTGTGCCGGGCGGCTGGTGGAGCAGGCCCTGGCCGCAGTACGCACTGTTCGCGCGTACGCGGGCGAGCAGCTTGAGGTCGACAGGTAACCCTTAAGCCAATTTGCATATTGTCCTGACTGAATTAAAAAATCTCTCATGACCAATAAAAGTTTAACATTGCTGGTAAACCCCGTTCATTCATTTATGTTTTACTTCATTTAGTTTCATTGGGTTTCGTTAACTTAGGTTTTACTTCGTCTAATTAATCCTATGTAATCATCTCGTGCTAGCATATTGGGATATTTATATTTTTATGATTCTTTTGTTTATGATCTCATAAACAATATAAGGTCTATAATAATTTGTAATAAACAGCATCATCATCATCGAGATAAGTTATACACTATAAACACTGATATTATGATGGCAAGAAACACTGTTTCTTATAATGGACAATAAAATAGAGAAAAACTTTGGGCGCTGCGGGTTCGAACCCTCGTCCCCTGGGTAAAGTGAGTGAATGAGCGTTCCGCCGCGGCGCAGGTACGAGGCGGCGCTGCGCGAGGCGTCCGTGGCCTCGAGGCGGCGCGTGGCGTGGGCGGGCGCGGGCGCCGGCCTCGGCTGGCTGCTCACCTACGGCCTCAACGCAGTCGTCTTCGCGTATGGCGCCCTGCTGGTGGCGCGCGACACCCCGCTGCCGCCGCCCGACCGCGAGTACCACCCCGGAGTCATGGTCACGGTCAGTCTTTTATAATACAACCCCTCCTTTCAACCCCCCTCTCTCTCTCTCCATCGCTTACTCGCTTTACTGGCCCACAGGTACTGTTCTGCACATTCATGGCGGCGCAAAACATCGCGATGTGCCAGCCTCACCTGGAGATGTTCTCGGCGGCGCGGGGTGCGGCCAAGTCGCTGTTCAAGCTGCTGGAACGACGCTCGCGAGTCGACGCCCTGCAAGACGTGGGCACTAAGCCCGACGGCTTCAGGGGTGACATCGTGTTGGACAACCTCTACTTCAATTACCCGTCACGGCCTGATGTCAAAGTACGTGCCGCGAAACTTACATCATTATATTACATTATTTGCGTCTATATCGTCTATACCTTTGTCGTATATCTTTTTCAGAGTACAACAAACGATTACATTGATTACCACCAAAATTAAATATTTTAGTTGTGGTATTAATGAAATCAATTTATTATTATTATTATTTAACAGGTTTTGCGTGGACTAACGTTGAGTGTGAAATCTGGCGAGACGGTGGCGTTAGTAGGCGGATCTGGCTGTGGCAAGTCCACTCTGCTTCAGCTGCTGCAGCGCGCCTACGAGCCCGACAGCGGCACCATCACCGTAGACGGTCACCGCCTGCCCAGCTTGCATCTGCACCACTACCGTCGCAGCATCGGTAAGCATTTACTGCAGGAACCAAACACTGCCTAATTCCTGATATAGCGTCTTTAGCGGTTCAGTTCAATCTTGACTTCTTCCGGCAGGCGTGGTGGGCCAAGAGCCGGTGCTGTTCAGCGGCACCATTCGCGACAACATCACCCTTGGCATGGAGAACGTTTCAGAAGCGGACCTCATAGCAGCGGCCAAGACCGCTAATGCTCACAAGTTCATTATAAAGTTGGTGAACGTAAGTTTTATGTTTTCCTATGTAAGGTAACAGTAGATAAAGCAAATGGAATTATATTTAATAGGCTGGTGCTCTCGTTAATGTGTTTCAGGGTTACGACACAGTTCTGGGCGAGCGCGGCGCGCAGCTCTCTGGGGGGCAGAAGCAGCGCGTGGCCATAGCGCGAGCGCTGCTGCGCCGCCCAGCGCTTCTGCTGCTGGACGAGCCCACGTCGGCATTGGATCCCGCCGCTGAGCGACAGGTGCGAAACCGCCTTAAAACCATTATCACCATAATCTTCCCCCGATATATAACTTTGGTTGTGCTGTTTTCTTTAGAGCCTTTCATTTAGCTTACATTTTTTTCTTAAATCTTTTAATTCAGGTCCAAGCTGCTCTAGACGCAGCAAGCGTTGGAAGGACGACGATAGTGGTGTCACATAGGTAATATTAACTATTTTATATCCTTATTTCCTTATTATATCCTTTCCTTACATCATGTTATAAACGCGAAAGTTTGTATGTATGGATGGATGTTTGTTACTCTTTCACGCAAATACTACTGAATGGTTTTTAATGAAACTTTACAATAACATAGCTTATACATGAGATTAACACATAGGCTATAATTTATATACATATTTTATGTATATCTGTGTATCTGTCTGAATGTTACGCCTTCAGCGTACGCAGACGTAGTCGCGATCAGCAGCTAGTAATATTATAAACGCGAAAGTTTGTATATATGGATGAAAGTTTGTTACTCTTACGCGCAAAATTTACTGAAAAGATTTTAATGAAACTTTACTTTACTTAATTTTATAAAATTATTTTATAACTCGTTTGGCGCAGTTGATTTGGCACCAGTGGTTGTGGGCTCGATTTCCACTATATACAAGAATATTAGTACTTACTATTACCACAAATTAGACAATAGCATTTATGATTCAGCATTATTTCTTTATTATTGGCAGTATTTCGTTATTATTAGCTGTTTGTGTGCAACCACTTCGAATATCTATATACGTCATCGTTACCACCGCGACAATAAATGAACATTCGTGTAACGCTAGTTGCCAATAATCATAAAAAATATTAACGTTAAAAAAATCCATATTTAAGAAAATAGATTTTTCAAACAAAGTAACAAAATTTGTAACATCCTATACAACTACAACTGACTGATTCATACATTCAGAGACTTTTTCAGTCGTTGCCACAGCGTCGCATTACAAGCCTCTCCTTCTAACAGTATGTTTTGTCTCTTTTAAATTCATTCAACCCATTCATATGCTATGTGACCTTTACAAATGGACTATGCGTTACAGTTTTATACGCAAGGATGTTCTTAAATTCTTTGTTTTGGATAATTTTATAACTCGGTACATATTGATGTTTAAAGAATTTAAATGTTTAATACAATTTTAAAAAGTTATCCTCTATTTGTGTGTTCATTTATTGTCGCGATTGTAAAGACACGCTGTATAATATAAGCACTTGGTATAACAGGTGACTCAAATGATATCCAATGTGTATTTTGTTTGTACTGGATTTGTAAATTTGTTTTCTTTGTGTAAATTAAAAAATATTTAACATTGTCAATCTCGCAAACCCGCGCTTTTAATACTGTTGATTTTTGTTTCATTTTTATCAATAACGTATTTTCTTCTTGGTCGGTCAAAATTGAATTCCAAAATAAATTTATTTTTGTATCTTCTCATGAAAATATCAAACTTTAACTTCACTAGTCTTTTCTGTAATATTTGATACAAAATGTCTGTCTCAGAAAATAATTCTGAAAACTACTTAAAAAGTAAAAAAAAAATACTGTAATGGCACTACACGAGATTTACGCCCGGTTTTTGAAACACTGATAATCATATGTCATATGAGTTGCCCAAAGGATGGTTAAACTTTTTAAATTGATCAGAACAGGTGATTAGTTAATTTCTACGATATTCAGTGTTTCAGAATCCAGCTAGAGCTTATTTCTCATACAAAGAATTTTCATGAGAAATAAGCAAGGCTTAGTACTGCTTTTGCAAACGGTACGCCGTAGTCGAAGTCAGGACAGTGATGTTTAGCGTGAATGTTATTCGCAAATTACTTCCAATGAGGTTAATAGATGGCTTTACAAACACGGAAGGCCACGAGTTAAATTTTCGTTAACGTTTGTTTGGGACGACAAAGTATATAAATAATATTTTTGCATGTGTCTAGCAGGCGCATTTTTAATTGTTCTCCTTCCAAGTATTTTTCCATGTAAAATTTGTTTGAAAAATGTCAATGCAAAAAATGTATTGAGCTGGTGATTAAAAACTTAAGTTAAAATCGATCTAATTTAAAAATTAAACTTAATAAATTAATTTTAAAATTAAACTATTATAACTTAGTAATTTTGTAAGTGGTAATATAATGGAGTCTAAAAGTTCGACCATCGATTGACTCCGTTGAGCGTGGGCAGGTTGTCGACGATAGTGAACGCGTCGCGCATCGTGTACATGGAGCAGGGCGCGGTGCTGGAGCAGGGCACGCACGCTGAGCTGCTGGAGCGCCGTGCGGCCTATTGGCGCCTCGTCAACGACGACCTCACGCACAGGTGAGCCGACACCGTCTACACCCATGTACGAACTCACGGTTAACGCCAAGTCTAGGACAACATCTAGAGTTGAATCTTATTTTATGTTTTCGCAGAAGTATAGAGACTACTTTGGCTGAATCTGTCGCAGAAGGAGATGACGACGACGTCGTCCTAGAGAAGAAACCGCAAGCAGTTCGACGTAACAGTAGCGTGTGTTCTATAAGAAGTCGAAGAGGTGAGCTGCAAAAGAATTTTTTAACTGCATCTAATCAATATTGCGAGCACACACATGGGCTGAGACTACCACCTGTCATTGTCGTGTGCGCAGGGTCCGTGGTTCGCGAAGGGTTCGCGCGCAGCAGCATGCGACTGGCCACGCCGCCACCGCACTTGGAGGCGCCCTCGGTGAGCTTCTCTCAACTTGACGCCATTTCGTTTATGATATGACTTGTGATTTCAGTTATAATTATTTAGGACATGTTGGTCGGAGTTGAAATGGTGCCCTATTTTGTATAGGAATTAGAAGCAATGGCGACTGTGGTTGAAGAATGCGAGGATGATGATGGTGAAACACATCCGTCTGTATCAAGCTGGCAGCTGCTAAAGCTAAACAGCGCCGAATGGCCACTGCTGGTAGGCGGCGGCCTCGCTTCCCTCGCCATTGGCGCCACCATGCCAGTATTTGCATTCCTCTTCTCCAAGCTATACGGGGTAAGTGACTGGCGATGCATCTGTCTGTTGAAGCACCGTGATGAACGCGATGTTCATGGTGAACGTTTGGCCGCCCTCAGATGTTCTCGCTGTCGGAGCCTGCGGAGATAATCGCCAAGTCGCAGGTGTACGCGGGGCTGTTCGCGTGCGTGGCGGCCCTCAGCGGGCTGGTGACGTTCCTGCAGGCTTGGCTGCTGGGCCGCGCCGGCGCACAGCTCACAGATCGCCTGCGAGTGCTCACATTTCGCAACTTTCTCGCACAGGTACTAGTTCTATAGGTAAAAAGTTGTGTTATATTTTTCGGGTTCCTTAAGTTTATAAAAAATACCTCACAATTTCTATCATATTTCGGAACTGAATATGATGTATTGTGGTTGGGTTAGATGATCGACCAGTTTATAAAATGTATATAAATCTATATACAGGGAGGTTTTTCTAAGTGTATCCATTTTTTTTATTAAATTCTAGATATAAATAATGTTCTATCAAAACGATAAATATTTAAAATCACTCGTAAATAATTTATTACATTAATTTGAACTTATCTCAAAACGTGCGTGATTTATGGGCAACTCATTTATTTTACGCACGTTCATTTATAACTAACACGCACATAAGTTCATTTCAAAAGTATACGACGCATTTATGAATGACTACCGCATTGTCAACAAGTTCTGTTTTTAGGGAATAGAATGGCATTTTATTTAAAAAGTTTGTTTTTATTGCAATAATACTACCGAGTACCTTTACAAATGAACTTTACGTTACGCTTTTATAGGTAAGGGTGTTCTAAAATTGTTTGTTTTGGAAAATTTAATAACTAGGTAAATATTGATGTTTAAAGAATGTAAATGTTTAATACAATTTTCAAAAGTTATCTTCTATATGTGTGTTCATTTATTGTCTCGATTGTAACGACACGCTGTATAAAAATTTCGTGTTACAATGTATGTTCGCGATAAACTCCGAAACAACTGAACCAATTTTTATCAATTTTTAATTGGATTTGCATTTGCAATAAACTTGGGAGATAGAGTAGTTTTTATCTCAATTATTGATCTCAATATTTGTTATTGCAAATTATTTGTTTATTACATTATTTGTTAAAAACACTGGGCAGTGCCGAAAACATATTTCAACCCAGTATATCTACACATTTTAAGTATCATTAGAAAAAATGAAAAGACCATTTTATGATCGATTTTGAACCGCATTTGTGATGACTACAGGAGCAAGGCTGGTTCGATGTGCCCACCAACTCAGTGGGGTCACTGTGCGCACGGTTGGCCTCCGATTGCGCTGCGGTGCAAGGAGCTACGGGTACGAGCACAACTGTCGAATAGTTATTTATTTAATCTACTTATCATATGATCTTGTTAAATTTATTTCTTTAAACAATTTCACAGGGACTCGTTTGGGTACAATGCTTCAGGGCATCTCAACAATGGTGCTCGGTGTCGGTCTCGCAATAGCATATTCCTGGAAAATGACATTAGTCAGCCTTTTAAGCGTACCTTGTGTAAGTTGTAGCGATATGCGAATATTATATTCTATTAAAATATATGTACCGATATTATATACATAATTATAATAAACTAAATAGTAGCCTGTTTCATTAAATATCAGACGAATAACAATATCACAAAATTAATAACCGACAACAATCTCAATGAGTCCGCTTCGTAAAAAATATTATAGTGAAACGGAACGAGTACGTTCGATTACACTTGTACATGAGTGGAACAGCAATTTATGGGTAAGTGTAACACCAGGTGATCGGCGGCATCTGGCTGGAGGGGGCGGTGGCGAAGCGCGCCGAGGAGCGGGAGCTGCGCGCCCTGCAGCGCGCCGCGCGCCTCGCCACGGAGGCCGTGCTCAACGTGCGCACCGTTCAGAGCCTCGGTGAGACTTTCGCTATTCCAACGCCTTTTTAACGCCTATCAGTTCCCGACAAAACATTCATTCAAATTGTTGGTTGAAATCTCACTCGTTACATTAGTTAAGGCGTTGTATGCAGTGAATTTTTAACTATTTGGGTGGTGAAGTATGAGGAAGCGGAGGAGGGGTAACGCCGCTTAGCGGCGCGCAGCGCGCGAGTTTTGTCGACGCGCCGCTAGACCATTCATTACCTAGTGCGTAGTGATAGGCCGTAGGACACTATCGTAGGGTAGGAAAATGTAGTACACAGATGATCTCTATAATATCTTTTATAGACCATGATTATACTTTACTTTTATATTATTATAGGAATGATAATAAACAAACAAATATAAAGTATGAGAAAGCAATCAACAATTTTAGAAAAACTTCCTATTAATTATTTTAAATTATCAGTTATTAATTATTATTTTAAAAATACATCTTAAGGTCAAATAAATTAATAAAGGCAAATGACATTTCTTACAACAAAACAATAAATAAACGAATAATTATTTATTTTGATTCAAAGTTTAATTACGCTATTTCTTAGTCTCCACGGCAGAAATTACGGATACGACTTTTTTTATTACATATTTTCTTAAACCTTATATCTTTAATTTATCCTTTAAATGTGAAAGACTTACTACGTTATATTAATTCCTCAATGAAATTATATTTAAAAATTTATCGATAAAATTCCTTATATCGATAAACGACAACAATTATAACTAGAATCGAAATATTGTTCCCTTCCGCAGACATCGTGTAGCCTATTGGTCCGAGCGTCATGGTTGATACATCTTTCTCCAATTTTAATTTGTTAATCAATTAATTATTTTGTTGTTATTTGATAAATGTCACAAAAAATATAAAACAATTATTTTTCGTGTTCGTAAAAGAATAGTTTTCGTTTTAGGGTGAAAAATTAAATAAAAATATTTTAATAAAACAAATTAAAAACAAGAAACAATATAAGACTTGTTAAAAATTTTAAATCATCAAAACTTGGTTTATTATCTGATAGATTGTTCTCCAACTGTTGCGTTCTACGTTCAACAAATACAATAATATTTCGTTGTAATTATTTATAAAAATAAAAAAATCAACAAAAATTTAATGGTAAATAAAAAAAAAATACCTACAAAAAGAAAATCACCAAAAAATATAATAAAGAAAAATATAGGGATTTGAACCCAATCCCTATAGAATGATCGTCCTTTACACAGTGTTACCAACTGTTCAAAAATAATACTCCTAAAACAATTCGAAAACCGACTAAAATTTATTAAATTCGAACAAAAATTTATTAATTTAGGATTTTTTTTTATATTATAGGAAAAGGCAAAATAATTAATTATCTGATAAAATAAACCATGGTCAAGAACATCAAATATAATATAATTCATTTGACATGAATATGTTAAGAATAAAATCAAAACAATATTAAAAAAAATTATTAGAATACATAAAATATTCATACCAGACACATAGGCCTTGGCCTGACGTCATCCAAAGCAGCACGGCACTGAATTTTTTTTTAAATGAGTTGTTTTGTGTAGTTTTTTTCGAAAATGTGAATAAAATTTAACTCCTAAAAAATATTCCCATAAAAATTTACCTCCCAAAAAACTTCCATTCCACATTTTTAATCCTAAGTTTCGGAAGAAAATTCCTAAGTTGGCATTCCTGCCTTTACACTGTTTGTATAGGACTAATAAACTTATCAATGACAAGATAAGATATTAAAATGTGAGCGGAAGACGAGCGACATAGGTCCATCTAGCAAGGTGCCTCAGCGCTCTCTGTTCAACGTATGGAGTTGGAAGAGAGCCGAAACAACGCCGCGGTGGCGCGGTGTTTTGGCCATCGCGTTCGAATTAATTTTAATGAATTAAATTAATATTTACAAATATCCTACATCAATCAACAAATTAAAACAACAATCCTTTTTATTAATATATTCTACACCACTGATATTAATTTCATTAAGATTTGTTGATGTATTACGTTCATTTTTGGTTTTGAATTTCTCTTTTAGAGGTAGTTTCATGACTTTTTTCTATCGAGAATATGTTTTGGAAACAATGTTCCCTTAGAATGTACGATCAAGATTAACATATATTTTTTGCTGCTAAATTGTGTAGATTTTGCTAAAAAATCTTTTGAAAAACCTATTTTTACTGCATACAGCGCCTTAATACGGTTCCAATACAACTCTTAATACATATACTGATTCCATGCTTGCAGGCGTGGAGCTGGTGATCCTGGAGCGGTACGCGGCCGCGTTGCGCGATTCGGAGGCGCAAGCGCGGGGCGTGCGTTGGCTGCGCGGCCCCGTCTACGGCCTGTGCCTGTGCGCGCCCACCTTGGGCTACGCCGTGTCGCTGGCCTACGGCGGCTACCTGATCGCACGCGAAGACATGCCCTACGAATACGCCATACTGTGAGCCACAGTCTCTCGCGCGTGGTCCGTCGCAAACGTGCACATTCGCTAATAGCGGCCGATGCGATCGCAGGGTGTCGGAGGCGCTGATCTACGGCGCGTGGATGTTGGCGGAGGCGCTCTCGTTCGCGCCCAACTTCGCGGCGGCAAAGCGCGCGGCCGCCCGCGTCGTCTCCGCCCTCCAGCGCAAGCCTCTCGTCCTCACGGAGCCCACGGCCCTCGACGACCCCCACTGGGTGACTTGCTCCAACATTTTGTTTATTTATTTAATTCAACAAGTCTAGCAAGAGTATGTCCTTCGTATACATCCGGAACATATTTAATTATTGTCAGAATAATTGTATGTCAGAATTTAAAAAAAATCCCAATGAGTATCTTGTAAACATATGAAACCAAAGTTCTCTTCTAACCCTCAGTTCATACTTTCCGACTATTCCTAAAATGAATAACACGTTGGATACATTAAGGGATAAACTGGATAAACGCCGTAATGTTTCATAAATACACATATATTTTACTAATTTATTCTTACCCTCTTCAACTGTAGCTTATATTTTTTAGCTTCATAAGAAGATCGAACGAATACATGGTATTACAATAACTTTAACATTTGTGAAAGGATTCACTCGGTGAAGAACCATCCAAAATTCCTATAGGCTTTTATGCAGATATTCAAAATCAAAATCAAAATCAAATGTATTTATTCAACATAGGAGCATTACACTCACTTATTGATAGTCAAAACACTACCACTGGTTCGGAAAAGAAAGCCACTGTACTGAGAAGAACCGGCGAAAGAAACTCAGCGGGCTTTTTTTTTTTTTTTTTTTAAATAAGCAGTTTGACATAAATTCGTTAAAATACAATATAAGAACTCCGATTGAAAGAGCCTGGAGCGATCAGTTCATTACCAGAGTGTGTTATCATTTAAATAATTATTAATATTATAGTAGCCTTTAACACACAAACGTTCTTTTACTATTTTTTTAAATTTAGCTATTGATGCATTTTGAACGTTTTCTGGAATTTTGTTGTAATAACGTATACATTGTCCCATAAAAGATTTACTTATTTTACGGAGTCCACTTGTGGGTAGGATCCATTTATTTTTGTTCCTAGTATTTATATCATGAACATTATTATGTCTTAAAAATTTATCCTTATTTTTATGGACATACAAAACATTTTGAAAAATGTATTGAGCAGCAACAGTACCTTTATCTCTTTAAACAAGTTTCTTAACGATTCTTTGGGGCCCAGATTGTAAACTGCACGAATAGCTCTCTTTTGTAAGATAAAGATTGTATTAATGTCGGCCGCGTTACCCCAAAGCAGAATGCCATAAGACATTATACTGTGAAAATAACTAAAATATACCAAGCGAGCCGTATCAACATCAGTTAACTGTTTTATTTTTTTGACCGCGAAAGCTGCTGAGCTAAGTCTACTCGCCAGTCTATTAATATGGGGGCCCCATTGCAGTTTGGCATCAATAGTTATGCCAAGGAATACAGTTGAGTCAATAGGGTCCAACGCTTCCCCATATAAAAGTACATCAGTTTTTACATGTTTAACATTGGAGGAAGTTGTAAATTTAATACATTTGGTTTTTTTATTATTCAACAGTAAATTGTTAAACCAATGTACTACAGTAGATAGAGTATTGTTTACATCGTCATAACTTAAAGAACGTCGGTTTACTTTAAAGATTAAAGAGGTATCATCCGCAAACAATACTATCTCATGATTATTATTAACAAGATAAGGTAGATCATTTATGTAAATGAGGAAGAGAAAAGGCCCAAGAATAGATCCCTGCGGGACCCCCATATTTACCAAGGCCCCGGGGGATCTCTTGCCATTCACGTCAACTCTCTGAATTCGATGGCTCAAGTACGATTTCAGAAGATTGAGTGCGGCATCTCTTATACCATAGTGGCGTAGTTTCCTGACCATGGTCTCATGCTGTACACAATCGAAAGCTTCGGTTAAGTCACAGAATATTCCTAAGGCATCCTGCGACTTTTCCCAGGCTTCAAAAATATTCATAACGAGCTGAACACCCGCATCAGTTGTTGAGCGACCCCTAGTAAACCCATATTGCTTGTTATGTAATAAATTATGAGAGCTAAAATGCTGTAACATTTGATTCAACATGATTTTTTCAAATATTTTACTAAGAGTTGGCAGTACAGAGATAGGTCTAAAATTATTGGGGTCGGAAGTACTACCAGATTTAAACACCCGGAATGATTTTACTATGTTTCATAAGGTCAGGAAATTCGCCACGATTGATACAAATATTAAAAATAGTTGCTAGGTAAGGTGATATTACATCAATAATAGAACTGATCACCTTAACCGAGATCCCCCATAGATCTGCAGTTCTTTTAACATCTAAAGTTTTAAAAGTTTTAACAATTTCTGTCTTGTTTACAGTAGTAAATTTAAAGTTGACTTTACATTCCATAACATTCTTTTTTAGTAATGACTCAGCAACTGTCGGTGAGGAAAGAAGTGACTTGGTTGTTGAAACTGGAATGTCAACGAAAAATTTTTCGAAGAAAGTAGCAGCCTGTTGATTTGAGTTAATAGAATTATTATCATTAGTTAACAGTAGGTCAGATTTGCGCTTCGTGACTCTTCCCGTTTCGCTATTAATTATTTTCCAAGTCATTTTGATTCTATCAGGTGCATTTTTTATTTTATTCCTAATATATAGAGATTTAGCAGTATAACAAGCTTTTTTAAATATTTTAGAGTAGGCACTGACATAAGAAACAAAACATTGACTATGATTGTATGTCCTTTCACTATAAAGTTCATACAATCTACGTCTACTATTATGAATTCCGACTGTTGCCCATTCATTGAAAACTACAGAGCTTTTAGGTTTGACTGTCTTAGGAGTAAATATAGTATTAAATTCCACTATAATTAAATTAAATAATATGTTGTAAAGTGCATTGGGGCTATCATTATAATGTAGATACGTTAGCTTTTTTGTTATATTACTTCTAAACTTCTCAACCCGAGTTCTATTTACAGGAACAACCATTATTTTTTGTACCTTAGCACTACTATTTTTTTATATATGATTTAAAAGTGGCAAGTTGTCCGCAATGGTCTGAAGTAAATATATTAATAATAGACTTGTTAATTGGGTTACAGTTTGTAAATATGTTATCTAAACAAGTTGCGGAAGAAGTAGTGATTCTAGTTGGTTCAAGGAATAAATTGGCAAGGTTATATGAATTTAACAATGATCTGAATCTAATAGAGGTGGTAGAATTTTCCAATAAATTAATTAACCAGTAAATTAATTCCAATAAATTATTAATTACAAATCCCTCACTTCTGTAACTATTTTCATAGGCGGCCTTAGGTTAGGCTTTTAGATTAGACCTTACTCCCGACCATGTAAAATATCGTCCCGACAGATCTTTCCTTTATTGTATACTTTTTTTTTATGTGAAAAGTTGCCAAACGAGCAGCCGGTTCACCTGATGGTAAGCTGATACCGCCGCCCATGGACATCTGCTACACCCGAGGGTTACAGATGCGTTAACAACCTTTTGAAAATTGGGCTCCGGCTACCTCACTCACCAGACGAAACGCGAAAGTATTTGTCATACTTCCACTTCACGCTGGTCTTCTGTGAGGTCGTGGTACTTACCCGGACGGGCCTGCCCATTCGTGCAACAGCGGAGGCTGTTGCGAGGCCCTTCCACCGTTACTGCTGCCTATCTCTCTCATCATCATCACCTCTTGCCCTTATACTCTTGAATGGTGGATGTGGCTCATGGGATCATTTTCAAACCAAAAAGACACTTAAGGACTGATAGGAAAACTGTTTATTTCAACTTAAACATTTTGAACTTATTTTAGACCAAACGTAATCATTATTGAATTTATATAAAATACAGGAGTTATGTCAGATAGCTATACATGTTACATCTTCAAACGATTTTTACGGAATCCATCAAACATGACACAATTCAGTCTGAACAAATAAAACTAACATTCCAAATTTAATTTACAGTAATTCAAACATTAATACATAAACCAAACAGGTCAGAGTTGACATCAACAGAGTATGTATAATCTGCGATTACTAATAAACATATACCACCTAGGTGGGATCGGCACAACATGTGAATCATGTTGTAAGTCAGTTCGTTGCTTTCAACGAAAGCAACTTGGGAAGAAAACACCCAGATTCGGAACAATTATTTGTGCGTCACACAAATAATTGTCAGAGTCGAACCCACGACTCTCAACGCCTTTCTTTCATATAACTAGCAAAGAAATTGAGTAGATGGGGAGTGAAACCGATGCCAGACAATTTTGTCAGCAATAGTAACTATTGAATGAATTTGACAAAATCTAACGCCTTTTTGAAGTCGAAAAACCCTGTTCACCTCTATCCACTGTAGGCACAATTAGAGCCATATACCTAAGTAGAGTACTATCAGTACTTCTTTCCGGTCGGAACCCATGTTGATCATCTGATAATTGTGTGGTAATCTGTAAGAATAAATTGTAATGGATAGCAAACGATAGTATTTTTGCTGGAGCAGACAGTACTTGTAGTAATGTCTTCGTCTTATAAAATTTTCTGTGGATTTCCATTGATCTCTTATGCTTCACATAATTACAAAAGATTTTAGTTCCTTTAAAACGTTATTGTGAACCCTCTCTTCTTTACAATCTTTAATCGACTTAAAGTATTATAAGATAAACTGTCGGCCACAGCCAACTCATAAATTGGTGTCCAGTCTATTACGGCTATTAACGCATACAACAAAGAAAAATCAGTTTTATTTAATTTCCAGCGTGATATTTTGTCGTTTAAAAGAGCAGTTTAAGTCCTCGCCGTCATTTCGTAGTCGCGTATTAAGGCACACCGTCATCTCGATCGAGTGCTGATGGACATCCACCCACCGCCATCAGCGGGACCATCGCCTCACTCACGCGCACGCTTTCTCCCCTCTTGAATCTACTTAGCACTTTTGAAGCAAAGGATTTTTACATTACGTAATTGCATTACTCATTATGTATTCATTCAATGTGACTTCTCACAATAAGATAATGTATATAATAGATTATAGAATATATAATAGAATACTATATACTGCGTGTCTTTACCACCGAGACAATAAATGAACATACGTCTAATGCTACTTGCCAATAATCATAAAAAAATATTAACGTTAAAAAATCCATAATTAAAAAAAGATATTTTTCAAACAAACTAATTAAGTAAAAAAGAAACAAAATTTGTAACACCCTATACAACTACAACTGACTGATTCATACATTCAGAGACTTTTTCATTCGTTGCCACAGCGCCGCGTTACAAGCCTCTCCTTCTCACAGTATGTTTTGTCTCTTTTAAATTCATTCCACCCATTCATATGCTTTGTGACCTTTACAAATGAACTTTACATTGAAAGTTTATACGTAAGGATGTTCTAAAATGCTTTGTTTTGGAAAATTTGCTAACTCGATAAATATTGATGTTTAAAGAATGTAAATCTTTAATACAATTTTAAAAAGTTATCCTCTATATGTGTGTTCATTTATTGTCGCGATGGTAAAGACACGCTGCATACATAATAATCACTAATCGGTATCTTATTACAGTTATTAGAATATTGTTCCAGTGTTTTAAATAATAACATATACATAATTATTAATTTTCACTGCAGTTAGATGGAATATATAGAACACAAATTCAAATTCAATCTTAAACCTTCAGTGAATGTAATGAGGTAATAATTCCAACATTGGCAACACTTTCAGAGTGCCACCGGCGACATAAACTTCGAGAACATCCACTTCCGATACCCGACGCGGCCGGAGGTGGAGGTGCTCAGGGGGCTGCGGCTCTCGCTGGCGGCGGGGCGGACCCTGGCGCTGGTGGGGCCCAGCGGCTGCGGCAAGTCCACGCTGCTCCACTTGCTCATGCGCAGCTACGACCCCGACGGCGGCCGCGTGGTCGGTTTATTATTCCTCATTTTCATATTCCTAATTTTCCCAATATAATGACATTAACCAAATTGTTACGCATTTCTACATACTAATCAGAGAAGTTATATCGAAATTTGTTCCACAGAAAAGAACAGTCAGCTTTGAGAAATATCCGCCGTGGTTTAGTCATAGTTTGATAAGTAGACTTCGTGAAAAACATAAAATCCGAAAGAGATATAATAAATACTGCAATCCAATGGATAGGATAGAGTTAAGTATTTTATCAAAAAGGTGTCAGAAGCTCACAAATACGTGTTACAACGCATACATAAATAACATTGAAGACCGAATATCAAGAAATACTAAGGCCTTTTGGTCTTTTGTCAAAAGTAAGCAAGGGGGGTGCAGTTCATACCCTACTACCATGACAGATGGAGTGATGACTGCAAGTGATGGTCCGAGCATTTGTAATCTTTTTGCAAGCCGGTTTGTGGAAGTTTATACTAGAGACCCATTACAATCCGACTCAACTTACCCCCAATGTCATAATAGTTTCAGTTTGTCAATCAGTGGCCTCTGTATTCAACTTGAATCTGTAGTACGTGCATTGAAATCCTTGGATATTGATAAAGGCTCTGGGCCTGACAGTATCCCACCCATATTTTTGCGAAACTGCGCCTCTAATCTTGCTGTGCCTCTTTGTTTCATATACAATTTCTCTCTGGCTAAAGGGATATTTCCTGATGAGTGGAAGGTCGCTAAGGTGGTTCCAGTTTTTAAGTCGGGTGAAAATTGTTTAGTGACAAATTATAGACCAATTTCCATTCTTTCAACGCTATCAAAAGTATTCGAAATTCTGATTTGCCCGTACATTTCGGAGCATGTCAAGCCGCTTATAACAAATCATCAACATGGTTTCATGAAATGTCGATCAACGGCTACAAACTTGGTTTCTTTTGTTGAAAATATTACGGAGGCAATTGATGCTCGCCACGAGGTAGATGTTATTTATACAGATCTTAGCAAAGCTTTCGATAAGGTGCCTCGTAAAATATTAATTAAGAAGTTGTCAAATTATGGTTTTAATGGAACTTTTCTGAATTGGTTTGACTCATACCTTAAAAATCGTAAATTTTTTGTAGTAGTTAACGGTTTTAAATCAAGGGAGTATAACATAGAGTCGGGTGTACCCCAAGGTTCTAACTTGGGTCCTATTTTATTTAATATTTTCATTAATGACATTGTTGATTATATCTCAAATTCTGTTCCATACCTGTATGCCGATGATCTGAAATTATTACGAATAATTAATACTGAGTTTGACTCCTTACTATTGCAAGAAGATTTAAATGGCTTGTCACGCTGGTGTGAATTGAACGGAATGCAACTAAACGTGGGTAAATGTTTTTATATTAAATTCTCTAGAAAATTCAAAATTATTAAATCTAGTTACTATATTAATGGAGTAAGGATACAAGAAGTTGAATACATTAAAGATCTGGGTGTGATATTTGATAAAAAGTTAACCTTTGGAGCCCATTTAGAAAATGTCATAAAAAGAGCTTCTAATATGCTTGGATTTCTTATTAGAATTGGAAGGGGATTCCGGAGGCTAGAAACAAAAAGACTACTATACAACTCCTTTGTCCTGAGCATTCTGGAATACTGTAGTATTGTGTGGAGACCGCACTATGCATGTCACTCTCTGAGGTTAGAACGAATACAGAAGAGATATCTCTGGCATCTAGCTCATTCTTCGAAACAATGTAGGAAGGGGTTTTCGTACAAAGATAGGCTGAAAAATTTTAAATATACTTCACTAGAAAATCGCAGAACACAGCTTGATCTTATCTTTTTAAACAAATTATTTAACAATAAAATAGATTGTCCTAATCTGTTAAGTAAATTTAGATTCAATGTACCGAATAAGCTACCTAGAACCCAAATCCAACCATTGGTTCCACCTTTACGCACAACAGTATTGGGCTCAAGCTCGTTTGTCCCCAGAGCGAGCCGACTTTTGAATAATTACGGAAAATCAACTGATATTCATGCTGTTAGTCTCAATACCTTTCGTAAGCACTTGCAAGAAACCATTGTCGATGAGTAGATTAGTCGTATAGCATATATATTTTTAATTAAGTCTCAAAAATTTTAAAAAAAACTCTTTTTCACTACCTTTTTTTTTTTTTTTTTTTTTTTTAAATTGTATTCTGTACACATTTGTTATTGTTAAGCTTATTGGTGTTACTTGATACTTCGCATGTGGTGTTTACCTTTAATTAATTGTGCATTTAGCTATAGAAATATACTGTGTACTAATTCTAATGAATGTATAAATGTAACAATTGCTGGTAAACCAAATAAATAAAATAAATAAAATAAAAATAAAAATAAAATTTGAATGGCTGCATCGGAACATGCACCGGTCGGTTCGTGTCAGTGAACATTCGTTTGGCGCAGACGCTGGACGGGCGCGACATAAAGCGGTCGCTGTCGCTGCCGCGGCTCCGAGCGCAGCTGGGCCTGGTGCAGCAGGAGCCGGCCCTCTTCGAGCGCAGCCTGCGCGACAACATCGCCTACGGAGACAACTCGCGCGTCGTGCCGCTCGATGAGGTCATACACGCCGCCAAGCAGGCCAACGTGCACGACTTCATATCCAGCCTACCGCTGGTAACTACGCCTACCGCACCTACCACATTACAATACACCAGTTTGGATGCCAGCATCATGGAGGCAAAACTTTGTCTCCAAATTTTTCTCATTCTCCTTTACTGGTATATATTATTTTACTGGTGATTATCATTTAGTCTACTCGGTCAAGGATAAAACATAGATCTTTGCTTTTTTATAAATGCAGGTAAAATACTCTAATATTTCGATTCATGTCGAGAACGGGATACATGCACGTACATACATTTATGCCGTTCCCGAATATCATTGAAACCATCGTGAATCAGCCGTGCCCGCAGCTCAATGAGGATAATATCAGAGGGAATCGTATAAACCATGCTGCTTAAGTATAAATGTATACTAATAGTTTTTCATATTTGCAAGCGTTTTTTGTTAGTTTATTTAGTACTTATTACTGATAATGTTTGTTCTTTACCAATATTTTTAATAGAATAAGTCACGTCTGACATTCACTTATGAACGCAGCGTCCATGCTATTATCTCTTTATAGTTAATAACAGGGACAGCGTAGGATGGCGTTGAAGCTACACGATATGAATGTATATAAATAGAGGTGTATTTGTGCAACATCAGGGGTACGACACGGTGCTGGAGGCGGGCAGCGCGGCGCTCTCCGGCGGGCAGAAGCAGCGCGTGGCGATCGCGCGCGCCCTCCTCAGGCGGCCGCGCGTGCTGCTGCTCGACGAAGCCACCTCCGCTCTCGACGCCGCCAGCGAGAAGGTCACGCCCGCTATCTGTCTCTACTCATCTCTAACATGAGAGATAATCACTGACCGATCTTCACGTTGCTTTGACTATATTATAAGAGTATGAAGATTCATCGGCACCGTGCAGATTCCATTACGTGACGTCAGAGACCTTATTAAATAATGCATTTCTCTTCATTCAATTGTCACAAAACGATAATTTTGTTAATACTTTGTCAATATTAGTCTTTAGCGAAACATACAACTTTATATTATATAACAGTGTTAAAGACCGAAGTAGCCTTTCAAACACTGGTTTTGCACACTAAGAAGTTTATAAATAAAACTACACTGTGTACTGATCTGTTGCTGGTTATGTTGATCTTTTTTGGGCTTGATGAGCCCTTGGCCGTTGGCCTTAGGGGCCTTTACAATTTCGCCGTAGTAAGTGTTGGGCGAAGAAATGGAAGCTTCATGTACAAACAGTAAAGATATTGACCTAACAACCTTTAAATAAGCAATATTATTGAGTTAGCTTGTGCTGTGTGTCTATGTTCAACTAAAGTAAACGAAAATGATTGCCCTCAGGCCGTGCAGGGGGCGCTGGAGGCGGCGTCCCGCGACCGCACCACCATCATCATCGCGCACCGGCTGGCCACCGTGCGCCACGCCCACACCATCTGCCTCGTCGACCAAGGTTCTTTTCTCAATACAATTCTTACATTCAATATACTTATTCATTTCTTTCGTGTTCGATTTGTGACTTGAACGAAATGTATACAAAAATAAAAAAGTTCAACTTGAGACTTACTTAAATGTTGGTTATAATGTACCACAAACGAAAGTGCCTTATACAGCGTGTAGTTATCATCGCGACAATAAATGAACACACGTCTAACGCTACTTGCCAATAATCATAAAAACAATATAAACGTTAAACAAAATCCATACTAAAAAAAAATATTTTTCAAACTAATTAAGTAAAAAAGAAACAAAATTTGTAACATCCTATACAACTCGCGCCACAGCGTCGTATTACAAGCCTCTCCTTCTAACAGTATGTTTTGTCTCTTTTAAAATTCATTCAACCCATTCATAATGCTTTGTGACCTTTACAAATGAACTTTACGTTACGCTTTTATAGGTAAGGGTGTTCTAAAATTCTTTGTTTTGGAAAATTTTATAACTCTGTAAATATTGATGTTTAAAGAATTTAAATGTTTAATACAACTTTAAAAAGTTATCCCCTATATGTGTGTTCATTTATTGTCGCGATGGTAACGACACGCTGTATAATCTGGATGATTAATAAAATTTTATGGTGACGTAACTGTAGACTTTCAGGGAGATGAATGAGTGAGTTGTGCGTGCGTGTGCATTGCAGGCGTGGTGGTGGAGAGCGGCTCGCACGAGGAGCTGGTGCGCCGGCGCGGCCTCTACTGGCGCCTCCTGCAGCAGCAGGCGCACGAGGCCGCATGAGCCGTACGAGCCGCATGAGCCGCATGAGCCGCATGAGCCGCATGAGCCGCACGAGCCGCATGAGCCGCCCGACTAGTGTCGACTGTTAACAGGACATGCGACGCACTCGCGGGAGCGTGGCCCTTGCATTAGGCTCACATGACGTTATCAATAAAAATACTCTACAAGTTTTCAATTAAATTTACGAAAGGATGTGATATAAATGTGCCTTTAAAATGTTTAATGTAAAAATTAGATATTTTCGCCTTTAGAATATTGTTTAATGTATGATTTCTCGATTTTCGAGAACAACATGAACAACAATCGCACGTTGCGTGTATTATTTGTTGATTACATACATAATTGTCAAAGTTATTGGCACTTATCAATGGGGCTAGGTTCAACCTAGCCTGATTTATTCTTAAACTATTCATAAGATGTACAATTGTGACTGTGATTGTGATACTTATATACAATAGATAGCACGTAAGTTGAAGCAACAAGTTAAATACAAGTTAAATCAAGAAATATTATGTCCATTTTATATTGTTGCATATTTGTATGGAGTATAATGTGTAAGTAGCTAATTTATTATAATATATCTCGTTTACTTAATATTATTTTTGATACTAATTTGTTGCAAAGTCTCCTACTATATTATTATATTTATGTGTTGCCATTGATGATATCGTATTATTAAGATACTGATAATATGCCTAAGCTGATTCGACATATCGACGCTTGAAAGACAACCCTAACTAAGCGACAAAAATCCGTAAAATGAGTTATATATACCATTCGAATCGCCAGAATTTTTCGTTTGATCTGAGTCTCATGGTTCTACGACGAGTTTTTTGTCGCTTAGATATTGAGAGATTTCGGTCAAAATCTATTGATTTTAAGAATATGCAGCTCATCGACATTTTGAAAATTAGGAATATGAACTTAGTCGGTTTCTTATATATTGACTTTTTCATTTATTTGTATTTACGTATTTTTACTTGTTATGAAATTTCCCTTTGAAACTACTTAGTAGATCTTACCTACAAAAAGCAATTGTAATTCATGTGGTAACGTATTTTAGCTTGTTATTATATTTTGTGAATGTGTCTTTTGTATAAGTTAACCTGAAATAAAGCGGAAGAAAAATTAGAGCTTAGATATTTTTAGTTGATAACGGTTAATGTTAATGATGTCGGTTATATAGTTCTACTTGATTTTCTAAATGACTAAGCATGGCGAGTAGATAAATTTACCCGTACGCAAATTTTATTTTCCCGTCGCTAAGGAACTGCGTAAGTTTCAAAAACTTTGTATAGATATACACGATACGTGAAGTGACACGCCTATACGGGTTCTCAACCAGACACCTGCAGTCGCTTAGGGAGGACGTATTTAACATTTTGGCGCAAATTCAATGAAGACATGGTAATCGATCAAATTATGCAAAACTCTCTCAAAACAGATAGTCACTTTATCTGCTGAACCAGCCATATTTATCACTTACCTCATTTCACGATCTACCGTCTACATCTGCAGGACTAAGTAGAGAATCAATCGTATCAAATCTAATCTAGCATTTTGAACGTTTTCTGGAATTTTGTTGTAGTAACGTAGGTATACATTATCCCATAAAACATTTACTTATTTTACGCTGTCTACTTGTGGGTAGGATCAATTTATTTTTGTTCCTAGTATTTATATCATGAACATTATTATGTCTTGAAAATTTATCCTTATTTTTATGGACATACAAACATTTTCAAAAATGTATTGAGAAGCAACAGTCAATACCTTTATCTCTTTAAACAAGTTTCTTAATGATTCTTTGGGGCCCAGATTGTAAACTGCACGAATAGCTCTCTTTTGTGAGATGAAGATTGTATTACTGTCGGCCGCGTTACCCCAAAACAGAATGCCATAAGACATTATACTGTGGAAATAACTAAAATATACCAAGCGAGCCGTATGCACATCAGTTAACTGTTTTATTTTTCTGACCGCGAAAGCTGCTGAGCTAAGTCTACTCGCCAGTCTATTAATATGGGGACCCCCTTGCAGTTTGGCATCAATAGTTATGTCAAGGAATACAGTTGAGTCAATAGTGTCCAACGCTTCCCCATATAAAAGAACATCAGTTTTTACATGTTTAACATTGGAAGTTGTAAATTTAATACATTTAGTTTTTTTATTATTCAACAGTTAATTGTTAGCACTAAACCAATGTACTACAGTGGATAGAGTATTGTTTACATCGTCATAACTTAAAGAACGTCGTTTTACTTTAAAAATTAAAGAGGTATCGTCAGCAAACAATACTATCTCATGATTATTATTAACTAGATAAGGTAGATCATTTATGTAAATGAGGAAGAGAAAAGGCCCAAGAATAGATCCCTGCGAGACCCCCATTTTTACCAGAGCCCCAGGAGATCTCTTGCCATTCACGTCAACTCTCTGTATTCGATGGCTCAAGTACGATTTCAGAAGATTGAGTGCGGCATCTCTTATACCATAGTGGCGTAGTTTCCTGAACAAGGTCTGATGCTGTACACAATCGAAAGCTTTGGTTAAGTCACAGAATCTACCTAAGGCATCCTGCGACTCTTCCCAGGCTTCAAAAATATTCATAACAAGCTGAACACCCGCATCCGTTGTTGAGCGACCCCTATTGCTTGTTATGTAATAAATTATGAGAGCTAAAATGCTGTAACATTTGATTAAACATGATTTTTTCAAAAACTTTACTAAGAGTTGGCAGTACAGGGATAGGTCTAAAATTATTGGGGTCGGAAGTACTACCAGATTTAAACACCGGAATGATTTTACTATGTTTCATAAGGCCAGGAAATTCGCCACGATTGATACAAATATTAAAAATAGTTGCTAGGTAAGGCGATATAGCATCAATAATAGAACTGAGCACCTTAACCGAGATCCCCCATAGATCTGCAGAGAACAGGTTGTCACTCCATCTATTGGGTGTCGTCCTAAACTGCGATGGCCAGTACGAGGCTGCCACTCAAGAACCTTCTTCCCCAACGGTTATTAGTTCTACGAGCTATATGGCCGGCCCATCGCCACTTCAGCTCACTAACCTTCTGAGCTTTGTCGGTTACGTTTGTTCTACTGCGGATGTCTTCATTGCAAACTCTATCATGCAGAGAAATACCGAGCATAGCCCGCTCCATAGTTCGCTGAGCGATTTTGAGCAACCTCATACGGCTAGCAGTGAAGGACCACGTATCAGTCCCGTATGTCATCACTGGCAGCACACACTGGTTGAAGACTTTAGTCTTCAAACATTGAGGTATATTCGGCGAGAAGATTTGCCGAAGTTTCCCGAACGCTGCCCATCCGAGTTGGATTCGCCAATTGACCTCTGCGTCGAAGTTGAACTTACCTAGCCGGACTTATTGTCCTAGATATACATATTGGTCAACAAATTCGAGCACAGTGCACCCAACAATAACATTAGACATGATCTTCGTCTTGTCCATATTCATATTATGGCCCACCCGTTGAGAGGCACTGTTTAAGGCCATTGAGCATAGTACTAAGGTCCGCCTGCGATTCTGCCATGATGACTATACGTCGGCATATAGAAGATTGGTGATGTATTCGCCATCGATGTTTATACCACGTTCTTTTCAGTCCAGATGCTTAAAAACATTACTATGTTTAATAGTTTATTCATGATAATTCATTTACCTAAAATTGTTAGTTATAGTTTTTTAGAAAATGAGTCATCTTCATGATAGTGTAATTTATGATTGCGACTGCAATAACAATTGTTCAATTTAAGAAAATGATCTCAAACTAAATGTTATGTTAGGTTATTAGTTTCCTTATTTAATTTTGTACGTAGCGCATTTGTTTAATTTTTAATAAAGAATTTTATTCCACATAATTGATTTCATTTATTTTTGTGCTTGATTTACCAATACAGTTTTTAATTTAATGTCAATTACGAAGCTAGGTTTGGAGTAATTTTAATAACTAGATAGAATTTCCACAATCACAAAAATCATTAAATAATGGTTAGGTAAATTTACTTGATTTATTAATTTAAACTCTGATTATTTTAGATCAATTTTTCTGTATCAAAATTTTAAACTAAGTATACCTATTTTTACATGTTACAGCATATGCTACAGTGATGACTTATATAATTTTACCTGTTTATGAAATCAGGTAAATTTTATCTACCCGACACAAACTGGTGTTTATAAAAGTGTGAGCTGTCCTAATGTGACAATTTCAATAGCCACAAAAAAATTTATTCTACCAATGTTATCATCATTTAAATCGAACAATAGGTTGAATTTTTATGATTTTTTAAATTTATATTTGAACTTTAAATCACTCTCCTGTAAAATTTGCTAAGTGTCGCTTAGTTAGGGTTGCCTTTCAAGCTTCGATATTATTTTTACATTTATTTTTGTAATTATATTGTTTCTAAAATATTTAAAAAGAGTCACTACAACTTACATTTTAATATTGTGATATGAAGTATTTTAATAAATAATAATAATAAATAAATACCACTTGATATAAAAAAGTATTTTATTTAAATAAACCACTAATAGCTAAATAATAACAATTTGTACAATATTTCATGGACCTTAACCGCAAGTACATTACATCCTACACTTCTACCACGAACCTGACATGCATAGAGTAAATGTCTACGTTTTAGCTATTGTTACAATCCACTGGCAACACTGCTTAATATACGAGCAATAACAATAATTATACTTAATAAACATTTAACCATATCTGGTATAATATTATGTAATAAACCATGCTTAATAATAATTTATAATTTAATAGGTCAATCTTATTAACTGTATTAGTAATTTTGTGCATTGATTTGTAATGTAGTTGTGATGACTCATTATATTTTTGTATATAAGCGCATAATGTTTCAGTGATAGGGTAGAACACTCTTATCCTTTGTATAGGACGTTACTCTGTCCTAATAAGTAGGAAGTAGTCTAATTAATATATAAAGTTGT